ACGTGATAGTCCCTTTTACCACTGGAATTGAACCTACCTTAATTTTTTTTTTAATTTTTGGAAAAATCTTTTGAATTTTGGAGGAAATAGAGTAATCTGTTAAGAATACTTTGTTATCCAAAATGTAGTCCACCATTGGCTTACCTTCGAGTAAAACCCATTTTAACAGTTTTTAGAATTTTTTTTGAAAATATTTTTGGATTTTTTCGCCTAGGCAAGGATCTGTATCAAAAATAGATTCAGATTCTTAGTTTACGAATAATTTTGGAAAATGGATTCCCATCTTTCTGCGTTAGTTCAAACGACACGACAAAAATTGCTTCAGATTCACAATATATAAAAAAAAAATCTCTGTAAAACCTGTTTTAACACGTTTTTTGAAAATGTTTGTAAATTATTTTCCTATTTTACTCCTTTGCTTTAAGAATTGTTGTAAAAATTTACTTAAGATTTGTATCAATGAGGAATTCCCTATGTGATAGGCTCTTTTACCACTGGAATTGAGCCCATCTTAACTTTTTTTTGAAAAATTTTTGGAAAATGTGTTCCTATTTTTCTCGGTTTCAAATGGAACAGCAAAAGCAATTTCAGATTCCAAAATACAAAAAATTCTTCCTCCCGTTTGAGCAGAGACTGTTTTAACACGTTTTTTGGAAAATTTTTGAAAATTATTTTCCCATTTTACTCCTTTGCTTCAAGAATTATTGTAAAAATTTACTTAAGATTTGGATCAATGAGGAATTCCCAATGTGGTAGGCTCTTTTACCACTGGAATTTAGCTCATCTTAACTTTTTTTTGAAAAATTTTTGGAAAATGTGTTCCTATTTTTCTCGGTTTCAAATGGAATAGCAAAAGCAATTTCAGATTCCAAAATACAAAAAATTCTTCCTCCCGTTTGATGAGAGACTGTTTTAACACGTTTTTGGAAAATTTTTGGAAATTATTTTCCTATTTTACTCCTTTGCTTCAAGAATTATTGTAAAAATTTACTTAAGATTCGGATCAATGAGGAATTCCCTACCACTGGAATTGAGCCCATCTTAACTTTTTTTTGAAAAATGTGTTCCTATTTTTCTCGGTTTCAAACGACATAGCAAAAATAATTCCAGATTCACAATATACAAAAAATTCTCTATAAAACCGTCTTTTTCCCGTTTTTGAGCAGGAACTGTTTTAACGCGTTTATTTAGAAAATTTTTGGAAATTATTTTCCTGTTTTACTTGGCTACTTCAAGAATTATGGTAAAAATGACTTCACATTCGCAACTAACGACAAATTCTGTATGTGGTGGTCTTTTTTACACTAGAATAGAGCCCAAATTTACTTTTTTTTGGAAAATTTTGTAGAAAAAATACCTTTGTTTGAATTTTTTAAGAAATAGTGCCACAGTTATTCTAAATTCGCCATCTGTGGAGAACAGTTCTTTTATGATCTAGCACTTTCTTCCCTTCTAGTGACACTCATTTTCACTCGTTTTTGAAAATTTTTTTCTAAATGTTTTTCCGTTTTTTCGGCCACAACAGCATAGCAAAAATAATAATTCACAATATAAGTACAACAAATTCTCTATAAAATCGTCTTTTTTCCGTTTGAGAAAGGGCCCTTTTAACATGTTTTTTTGGAAAATTTTTGCAAAATAATTTTCCTATTTTACTCGGTTACTTCAAGAATTATTGTAAAAACGCCTTCACATTCGCAACTAACGACAAATTCTGTATGTGGTGGTCTTTTTTCCACTAGAATAGAATCCATCTTATTTTTTTTTTTGTGGAAAAAAATCCCTTTTTTGTATTTTGTAAGAAATAGTCTTAAATGATTGTAAATTCGTCATCTGTGGAGAATAGTATTTTGCAATCAAGCACTTTCTTCCCTTATAGTGAAACTCCTTTTCACTTTTTTTGGATACTTTTTTCAAAATATTTTTCCGTTTTTTCGGTTACAACGCATAGCAAAAATAATTCGAGATTCACAATATAAGTACAACAAATTCTCTATTAAATCAACTTTTTTCCGTTTGAACAAGGGCCGTTTTTACACGTTTTTTGGAAATTATTTTCCTGTTTTACTCGGCTACCTCAAGAATTATGGTAAAAATGACTTCATCTTCGCAACTAACGACAAATTCTGTATGTGGTGGTCTTTTTTCCACTAGAATAGAGTCCAAATTTACTTTTTTTTGGAAAATTTTGTTGAAAAAATTCCTTTTTTGAATTTTTTAAGAAATAGTGCTAAAATGATTCGAAATTCGTCATCTGCGGAGAATAGTTATTTTGTAATCTAGCACTTTCTTCCCTTCGAGTGAAACCCATTTTCACATTTTTTGGAATTTTTTTTCAAAATATTTTTCCGTTTTTTCGGCTACAACGGCATAGCAAAAATAATTCCAGATTCACAATATAAGTACAACAAATTCTCTATTAAATCGTTTTTTTTTTCGTTTGAGCAAGGGCCGTTTTAACACGTTTTTTTAGAAAAATTTTGGAAATTATTTTCCTGTTTTACTCAGCTACTTCAGGAATTATGGTAAAAATGGCTTCACATTCGCAACTAACGACAAATTCTGTATGTGGTGGTCTTTTTTCCACTAGAACAGAGTGCAACTTAACTTTTTTTTGGAAAAGTTTGTGGAAAAAATTCCTTTTTTGAATTTTTTAAGAAATAGTGCTAAAATGATTCTAAATTCGTCATCTGTGGAGAATAGTTTTTTGTAATCTAGCACCTTCTTCCCTTCTAGTGAAACTCATTTTCACATTTTTTGGAAATTTTTTTCAAAATATTTTTCCGTTTTTTCGGCTACAACGGCGTAGCAAAAATAATTCCAGATTCACAATATAAGTACAACAAATTCTCTATTAAATCGTTTTTTTTTTTCGTTTGAGCAAGGGCCGTTTTAACACGTTTTTTTAGAAAAATTTTGGAAATTATTTTCCTGTTTTACTCAGCTACTTCAGGAATTATGGTAAAAATGGCTTCACATTCGCAACTAACGACAAATTCTGTATGTGGTGGTCTTTTTTCCACTAGAACAGAGTGCAACTTAACTTTTTTTTGGAAAAGTTTGTGGAAAAAATTCCTTTTTTGAATTTTTTAAGAAATAGTGCTAAAATGATTCTAAATTCGTCATCTGTGGAGAATAGTTTTTTGTAATCTAGCACCTTCTTCCCTTCTAGTGAAACTCATTTTCACATTTTTTGGAAATTTTTTTCAAAATATTTTTCCGTTTTTTCGGCTACAACGGCATAGCAAAAATAATTCCAGATTCACAATATAAGTACAACAAATTCTCTATAAAATCGTCTTTTTTCCGTTTGAGCAAGGCCCGTTTTAACACGTTTTTTTAGAAAAATTTTGGAAATTATTTTCCTGTTTTACTCAGCTACTTCAGGAATTATGGTAAAAATGGCTTCACATTCGCAACTAACGACAAATTCTGTATGTGGTGGTCTTTTTTCCACTAGAACAGAGTGCAACTTAACTTTTTTTTGGAAAAGTTTGTGGAAAAAATTCCTTTTTTGAATTTTTTAAGAAATAGTGCTAAAATGATTCTAAATTCGTCATCTGTGGAGAATAGTTTTTTGTAATCTAGCACCTTCTTCCCTTCTAGTGAAACTCATTTTCACATTTTTTGGAAATTTTTTTCAAAATATTTTTCCGTTTTTTCGGCTACAACGGCATAGCAAAAATAATTCCAGATTCACAATATAAGTACAACAAATTCTCTATAAAATCGTCTTTTTTCCGTTTGAGCAAGGCCCGTTTTAACACGTTTTTTTAGAAAAATTTTGGAAATTATTTTCCTGTTTTACTCAGCTACTTCAGGAATTATGGTAAAAATGGCTTCACATTCGCAACTAACGACAAATTCTGTATGTGGTGGTCTTTTTTCCACTAGAACAGAGTGCAACTTAACTTTTTTTTGGAAAAGTTTGTGGAAAAAATTCCTTTTTTGAATTTTTTAAGAAATAGTGCTAAAATGATTCTAAATTCGTCATCTGTGGAGAATAGTTTTTTGTAATCTAGCACCTTCTTCCCTTCTAGTGAAACTCATTTTCACATTTTTTGGAAATTTTTTTCAAAATATTTTTCCGTTTTTTCGGCTACAACGGCATAGCAAAAATAATTCCAGATTCACAATATAAGTACAACAAATTCTCTATAAACTCGTCTTTTTTCCGTTTGAGCAAGGCCCGTTTTAACACGTTTTTTGTAAAATTTTTGGAAATTATTTTCCTGTTTTACTAGGCTACTTCAAGAATTATGGTAAAAATGACTTCACATTCGCAACTAACGACACATTCTGCATGTGGTGGTCTTTTTTCCACTAGAATAGAGTCCAAATTTATTTTTTTTTTTGGAAAACTGTGGAAAAAATTCCTTTTTTGAATTGTTTAAGAAATAGTGCTAAAATGATTCTAAATTCGTCATCTGTGGAGAATAGATATTTTGTAATCTAGCACTTTCTTCCCTTCTGGTGAAACTCATTTTCACATTTTTTGGAAATTTGTTTCAAATATTTTTCCGTTTTTTCGGCTACAATGACATAGCAAAAATAATTCCAGATTCACAATAAAGTACAACAAATTCTCTATTAAATCGTCTTTTTTCCGTTTGAGCAAGAGCCGTTTTAACACGTTTTTTTGCAAAATTTTTGGAAATTATTTTCCGATTTTTTTCGCTTACTAAATAAATAATTGTTGTAAAAATGGCTTCAGATTTTTAATTAACCAGGATTTTTTCTGCGGTGACCTTTTTTCCACTAGAACAGACTCCATCACTTTTTTTTGAAAATTTTTTTGGATTTTTTTTGTTCGGGTCTTCCGAAAATTCCATAATTATATTACTTGACTGGACGTAAAGTCCCTGAATAGAATTTCATCTAGTAGCTCCACTTGACAGTTGCTTATAGCGCCCTCTCGGTTTTATTAGATGATCTATTGTCTAATTACTTACTACGTCACAATTACTAATTGGATTGGGTGTTTTGGAATAAAACTCGAGTCTCATATAATTAGATTTTATTTAAAAGAAACCATAAACAACTATACTAGAACATCAGCAAGGATTTCTAACAATATTGCAAATATACATTTAAAATGCAACAGTTGAATAGATGCGCCCCATTACAAAAACAATTCCTTAGAAGCTCGTGCTCTCGGTAAAAATCTGAATAAAAAAATAGGGGGTGCGGGTCGGAATAATTTTTGTAACCGCAGCACTCCTACTACGTGGAGCAAGTTGTAGTAATCTACTAGGCCCTTCCTATTTGATCAAGGTGTTTATCACAACAATCAGCTAGAGGCACAAGTGTTGGTGAACAATAATCAACACATCTAAATTCAAGTGTCGGGTGGTTTAAACTTCAACTACACCACAATGGATTGCATGGCACAAGTTATAGTCTTTTTATAGAATTTTGTTCGTAACTAGATCTAACTTTAATATAATGGTGGATTGTCTATAGATTACTCTCAAAGTGCAACAAGACTATATAGGTATCTAAAAATATATCCTCTCGGTTTTCAAAGTAGCAACTCAGCCGTTCACGATAAAAAATAAAATAATAAAAAAATGTACAGCTCGACTACCCTACGAAGCTAAAATTATCGAGCACCACAAACGTATAATACAAAACTTATTAAAGTACAATAAAATCTTTCTTTATTGCACGCCTATTACAATTTTGTACTTAACGACACAACATACTTAGACATAGTTAAACGTAATATTAGAGGTCATAACAAATAAAATATCTTAAAAAGTAGTGTTAAAAAGCTTGCCACTGTTAATTCACGTTTCTATTGGTACGCCTCATCTACCAATCAAATCAACAGCCTCTCTCCCCAAAGCCACAAACCTCCCACGTACCTCTTACTGTTTGTACCCCTGCATAAGCTCGTTGAAGTTGACCAGACCATTAAAATCGATGTTACATTCGTCCAGCTGGTCCAGATAGTCCATCGCCGGCCCTCCAGTCGTCGTTGTGGTAGCAACTGAGCCGGCATAACTGCACAAAGACACAACCAGACATCACATTACTGCAACACAGACCAACCAAAAGCATTGCTTATGAATGACAATGTGACAACCACTACTAGATGTTGCGAATGTGTCTGGTTACGTCTGTTTGCAGAATGCGACTACCAACACTCAACAACATGGCAAAGGCACGCTCATACGGCCGTATGGGCGAGCCTTAACGACAGTTTTACCAAATCAATGATGAAAAAAAAAATACAGGATGAATCATGGAGCAAAGACTTGACTTTGTCACGTTATCTGCATTGTTCTCGTTTATCATTCCTAGATTGGATTAGCTAAGTTTAATGGTTGGCATTCAGTACTTTGAATCAAAGTCAAGTACAACAGGTGATCTCGAAAACCGTCAAAAGTACAAAAACTTAAGATGATGAAACTGCATTTACAATATTCTTTAATTATCATTATTAATCACAGTTATTTTCGGTGGCGCCATCTATACCACAATAGAAGAAATGGAAACGTCATTTTCAGTAACTACAGATACAGTGCAAATATTATGAGAACTACACGCTGACTATATATTCGAAGCAGAAAATTTGCTTAATACATATTTCATGAAAGAAGTATAATCGTCTTTTCATTGCCCAAGTCATGTTTATAGATGTCCGATAACGTATGTATATATACATTATATAAGTAAACATAATACACTTCAAACACGTTTATCTATTTTACGAGGACATTATTAACTCAGACCATTGTGACCGCGATTAGCTGCAGTTTCGACTGATTTTGCAGGACGTCGTAATTCAAACAAAATTTACAGTTTCCTTTGTATTCACGGATCCTACTAGAGTGGAAATACGTTGAGATTTTGATAATTTTCGAAATATTGTACCAAATCTGTATTCTGCTAAAAAAAGATCACCAAAATACATGGTGGTTAAATACAAATAGTCCACTTGGAGTCCTTTTTTCTTTTTTTAATTGACTACGAAAATTCACAAAAATTGTCCTAGCGCAAAACTGGTTCGAAGATTCTACTAAATTTCATTTGCGTCACCGAAGTCCATCATCAGTTTCATTTCTTCGAAACTCGTGTAATTTTTAGAACTGACAACCTGGGTAAATTACTTTCTTGTGACGTCACAAAACATTTCAATATTTTGCGTATTTAGGGTGATTTATTTGCGACTATACTGAGTGTTCCGTATATATTTTTAAGTATTCCTATTAGGCTCTTCCTAGGCTTTATAAATATCATTTAAAAAAAATTAACATAGAGTGTTTACAAAAAAATAAACTTAACAATTTTCAAAAACAGCCTGTATTTTATTTTCGCGCTGTACTCTATTTTTTGTTTTCTTTCTTTCAATATGCCAGTGTGTTCTTTAAAAAACTTAAAAAACTCTCCATAAAAAACAAAAAACTGTTTATTAATAAAAACTAAAATTAAGCCCCACCCACCCGCCCCGATCTCAAGGGGCGGAGTTTAATTGTAACATCAATATTTCTCTAGGCAATTTTGCCGTTCTAAAAACGTATTTCATATGGTAATTTCTTGTCAAGAAATGAGGATTTTGAAACTAAACTCCGCCCCTCAGCTCACGATGAATAAAACATTCATCACAATCGAGAAGGGGTGGATGGGCGGGGCTTATATATTGTCCATTTTTTCTTAACGAAAACTCTCCGGTGCGACGTTGCCACGTTATTCCAATTTTCTTGAAATGTTTTGCCACTGTGAGTTCACAAAAACAATCGCCATTACGTCATTTTTAAGATCTGTACACGCTTTGTCATTGTATCAATTAAATAACATTTCAAAATACAGGGTGTTTATAAATTTTCAAATATCGATAATTCAGTTTTTTGAAACAGAACAGTCTATATTTTATTACTGCACTGTACTCTATTTTTTGTATTTTTTCTTTCAATATGTCAGTGTGTTCTTTAAAAAACTAAAAAAAAATCATAATAAACAACAAAAATCTATATTAAAAAAAAACAAACAAAAATTAAGCCCCACCCACCCGCTCCGATTTCAATTGTGATGAGTTTTTCATTCCTAATTAGACGAGGGGCGGAGTGTAATTGTAACATCAATATTTCTCTAGGCAATTCTGCCCTTCTAAAAACATATTTTACATGGTAATTTCTTGTCGAGAAATGAGGATTTTGCAACTAACTCCGCCCTTCAGCTCACGATGAATAAAACATTCATCAGAATTGAGAAGGGGTGGGTGGGCGGGGCTTATATTTTGTCCATTTTTTCTTAATATGGGAAGTCTTCTTTTCCCAACAAGAAACTGAAAAATTGTTTAACTATCCTATTGTTGAAAGAAAACTATATATATTAAAAAAAAAACAAACAAAAATTAAGACCCACCCACCCGCTCCGATCTCTATTGTGATGAATTTTTCATTCCTAATCAGATCGAAGGGCGGAGTTTAATTGTAACACCAATGTTTCTCTAAAGAATTCTACCCTTTTAAAAACAGGAGTATTTCTACGGTAATTTCTTGTCGAGAAATGAGGATTTTGCAAACTAAACTCCGCCCTTCTGGTCACGACGAATAAAATATTCATCACAATAGAGAAGGGGTGGATGGGCGGGGCTTATATTTTGTCCATTTTTTCTTAAGTTACCAAGCCTTCTTTTCCCGACAAGAAACTGAAAACATGTTTAACTTTCCTGTTGTTGAAAGAAAAAAAAAAGTCAAAGACCAAATTTGCACGGATCTTTAAGGCCTATACTCTAAAATTATTTATATTTTAATTATACAGAAAGTTCTGTTTTTACCACAAATTATTTTTTTTTTTTAATGAAACACCCTACATATTTTTACATATTCTCACAAGCCACTTCCTAGGCTTTACAATTACGCTTTATTTTTGAAATTCCGATGCGACGTTGCCAGTGTCAGTTCACAAAAAAATCGCCATAACGTCATTTTTACGATCTGGACACGCTTTGTCATTGTATCAATTACATAAAATTGTAAAATACAGGGTGTTTACAAATTTTCAGATATCGATAATTCGTTTTCTTAATAGAATACCCTGTATTTTATTACAATATTTTACCAATTTTTTGTTCTCGTTTTTTCAATAAGTAGGTGTGTCCCAAAAAGAAAAACAAAAAAAAATCTCGATAACCATCAACTTTAAATATAGAAAATTAGAAAATACTATGCAGTTATAAAACACAGGATGTTCTATCTGAAAAAACTGAAATATCGAAATTTAAAAATTGTTACAATTAATTTTTTTATGACCACTGGGTATATTTTCTGTAACCTAAATTTCAATAATAAACTACGGTTATAAAATTCAAGAAGAGGTCAAGCAGAATATATAGGGTGAGTCACTAAGCGCGCGTCCTCGATTTCTCATTAATTACTAGAGATAGAAAAAAAAACAAAGACAAAATTTGTACAGTTCTTTAAAGACTATACTCCAAAATTATTTATAACTACACAGGGAGTTCTGTTTTAACACAAATTAGTTTTTTTACATACTCGTATTAGCCTCTTCCTAGGCTTTATAACTACACTTTATTTTTGACAGTCCGATGCGACGTTGCCACGTTATCCAATTTTCTTGAAATGTTTTGCCATTCTCAGGAGTTCACAAAAAATCCCCATAACGTCATTTTTAAGATCTGTACGCGCTTTGTCATTGTATCAATTACACCAAACTTTAAAATACAGGGTGTTTATAAAAAATAAATGTTACAATTTTTCAAGTATTGATTCAGCTTTTTTTAATAGAATATTTTACTACATTTCACTCAATTTTTTTGTTTTTGTTATTTCAATAAGTCGGTGTCCCATAAAAAAATATCTGTATTTTATTACAACCTGTTGCTCAATTTTTTCTTTTCGTTCTTTCAATAAATCGCTAACAAACTAAAGAATCTCAATAACTCCCAACTTTTAAATATAGAAATTACCAGAAAAAAATACAGGATGTTCTACTTGAAAAAACTGAAATATCGAAATTTAAGTAGAATGAAACATAAAAAATAAACACCCAATCAGATTTAGGAATTTGACTCGTTACTATGGAAATTTGCAATTTGACACCTTTTAAATTTAACAAGTTTTTAAAGATTAATAGAGGCAAAATTAGTCTTATCTTAGCAAGTACTAGCCCCGCCCACCCGCCCTCTACTTTATCAGAGGATATGTTATCTGCCAAAATAACTCTTATCTTAGCAAGAAACACCCTATATACTTTTATATACTTTAATTGACCTCTTCTTAGACTTTACAACCAGTTTATTTTTGAAATTTCGATGCGACGTTGCCACGTCCATTTTTTTTTAATTTTTAGCAACGGAGGGGTTGACTAAAATAATTACAGCAGGGTTATTTTCAAAAACTGTGTTGCAACATTTTGTTTTTTGTTCTTTTTATTTTTTGCTGAGGACAAAAAAATAGAATTAAGATGTAGTAATAAAATACTCGTTTCATTTAAAAAATCTGAAACATCGATATTTGAAAATTGTAAAGTTGTATAGGGTGTTTCATTAAAAAAAAAAATAAGTTGTGTTACTTAAAAACAAAACACTCTGTACATACAGTTAAAAATAATTTTAGTACCGAGTGATTTTACAATTTTTCACTGTTGACGTAAGCACGATGGCTAACTAGAGCAGAAATTAAAAAATCACCCCATATCCAGTCCTGAACTGTAAAACTTTGTTCTAATTTTTTTCCATTTCTCATAATTAATGAGATATTGAAGAGCGCATGTTTAGCGAGAAGTTAGTTACAACAATAAAAAATATCGAACTTCGTTTGTTTTAAAATTAATTTTTCCATTTTTTTGTTATTTTCCATGAAAAAACCTTTTCGGCGCAGTCGTTTTTTATTTCTTTCTCTCGCCTTTTTGAGATCTTTTTTTTTTTTAATTCGTTCAAAGAAAACCACACTGAGAAGAAATCATTTCGTTGAACTTCAACTATTTTATTTTGATTTTAATACAAACGTTAGTTTATGAAACTTGAACACTCTAAAAATACATATAAATTTATACAACAAAAACAGATATGATATTACAAAGTCAGCGTAAAATTTCGGTACGTCTGTAATATTTCAATAAAGCTTTGATTCGCCTAGTCTAGTACGTTGCAAGCACGCAACACTTAAAACATGAAAACACCAACTACTCGGGACTACTTCTACAATAAGGATAAAATAAGACAAAGAAACTCAAAAACTCGCTTATAATTTTTTTTATATAAATGTAACAAACTCACAGAAATGTAAAAATTGCATCATCATTTTAATACTAACATTTTACTCGCTCTCTACTCATTGCAACGTAAATATCACACGAATTTAAAAATATTCATCAAAAGTACCCTGTCGAATCGACCGAAAATGTAAAGACATCAAAAATCGATATAAAAGACATGAATTATGCAAATACGGTGTAAATGTTTTCATAAAAAATTATTTGATGTATATAAAATCATCTCTAACCTAAGTAAATTTTCAAATATCACTAATACATAAGCACACAGTTTCATATCGGGGTCAAATGAAACTATGCAAACATATAAAAAATGCAAAAACATCCTTTGTAGATTTAAAGGTCAAGCATATTCTGAAAACTGAGACACGAAGGGAACATTACTACGACTAGCGATGAATGAATGGGTTACCTGCTAGCGACTGACGGCGTGTCTCTGGAGGGGTCGGGCGATTGGAGGTACGAATGTTGGGGGGTGTTGGGGTAGCTCGCACCGCTCAAGCCCGGAACGTGGGTCACCAGAACCGGCTTGACGTAGCCGTTGTTGGTCGAGGGCTGGTTGTCTGCCAAAAAACACACCCATAAACATCCATTTTCACAATACTCAAAACAATCAAAAATACCTTGGAACGGAGTGTAATATTTCCCAAACGGTATATCCTTGGAGATATCTGGGTACAAATAAACTAGATGGTTCAAATCAGCTACTCTATCCGCCAGCGATCGTATAGCGAAGTCCTTCGACGTGAAAGGCTGCAAGCTGAACACCTCCCCCGTGTCTGAAATCCACGCGATCGTGATGCCCCCTAGTTCGCTGTCCGAGAACCTCAGCAAGAACGTGCCGCACGGACACGACGCCAGCATTTCTTCGGCTTGTTTCTTCTTCACGAAACCGAGGATGGCCCTAGATAGGTTCAATGTAATCGTGCGTTTAGGTGTTAAGCGAGTGCTACGTACCCGTCGACCCAAGGGCCGCGTAAGTGCTCTCTCGTCAGCTTCATGATCGCGTAGAACCACTCCCAGAACGTGAAGTTCCTTTCGCTTAGAGGCTCTTTGCAGAACTGGGCCCAGCTCAGCATCTGGTTGCTTCCTTCGGTGTAATTGCCGCGGAAGGCTTTATCGGCTAAAAATCGCAGGTTTTCGTCGGTGAGGGAGCGGCCCGTCGCCGCCCGGAATTTCAGGGATAATGTTTCGGCCACGGTCGTCCACGAAACCTGGAAGAAAATGTTTTGTTTTAAAATTGATTGTTCAATCCATTGGGGTTTTTCGTTTTATTTGTACTGCAGGCTGGTGGTTTTTAAAATTTTTTGTTCAAATTTTGCTTGATAGTCGCCAAATGCTGGACATGAAGAAACTTGGGTTTTTTTTTTTTTTTTTTGGAAGAGTTTAAAAGAATCTTGGCACCCCTGTGTTCTATTTTTGTTTTTTGAAAGAATCTTGAGGATTAATGTTTCCTTTTGAATTTTTTTTAAAGATTATTTCTTAAGGTCTTCTGTGTTTGTTTTTTCCTAATTTAAAAAATCTAGGTGTCCCTAGCGTTTTTTTAAGAGTTTTTCGATCCTTGGTATTTTATTTTTGACAGCATTTAAAAGAATCTTTTGACATTTTTCGGAAGAGTCGAAAATAATTTTGGAGGCCTCTGGTGTTAACTTTATTAAAAAATCTTGAGTATAATTGTTTTTTTGAAAAAAAAAAAAATGTTGAAACATTTCCGAAGCCTCTGGTATATTTCTAAAAAAATTTTGGAAGCTCTTTGTAGTTGCCTAGTTTTTGAAAAAAAAATGAAAAAATCTTGACGTCTTTTTTTTTTAATTTAAGAGTTTAAAAGAATCTCGGGACCCTTGATGTTTTATTTTTTGAAAAAATTTTGGGGGTTCCAGATGTCTTGTTTATGGGAAAATTTTAAAGTATCTTAATGTTCCTAGTATTTAGATTTTTGAAAAAAATTCACAAAATCTTGGGTGGCCCTGGCGTTTTTAAAGAATTTGGAAAACATTTTTAATGTTTTTTTCTGCAAGAGTTTAAGATTTAGAATCTTGAAAGTTCTTTGTGTTTAGAGTTTGAAAAAATCTTGGGTGTTCGTTTTTTTGAAAGAATTTTTTAGAGATATCATTATGAAAGAATCTTTCGTTTAGTGTACGAAAAAAATTTTGATTTCCGATTTTTTGAAGAGTTTAAAAGAATCTTGAGGGCCGGGGTATTCTATTTTAAAAAGAATTTGAAAGAACCTCAGCACCCTGATGTTTTACTTTTTGAGAGAATTTAGGGGGTTCTAGATGTCTTGTTTTTGGGAAAATTTTAAAGATTCTTAAAGTTCCTAGTATTTATATTTTCAAAAAATTTCACAAATCAGGGGTGGGCCTGGTATTTTTAAAGGGTTTCAAGGAACTTGAGACCTTTGGTGTTTTATTTTTTAAATAATTTGGGAAAAATGTTTTAGGGTTTTTCTTTTGCAAAAGTTTAAAATTTAGAATCTTGGATACCTCTGGTGTAGAATCTTGAAAGTTCTTTGTGTTTAGTGTTTGAAAAAATCTTGGGTGTTCTGGGTGTTTGTTTTTTTGAAAGAATTTTTTAGAGATATCATTATGAAAGAATCTTTCGTTTAGTGTACGAAAAAAATTTTGATTTCCGATTTTTTGAAGAGTTTAAAAGAATCTTGAGGGCCGGGGTATTCTATTTTAAAAAGAATTTGAAAGAACCTCAGCACCCTGATGTTTTACTTTTTGAGAGAATTTAGGGGGTTCTAGATGTCTTGTTTTTGGGAAAATTTTAAAGATTCTTAAAGTTCCTAGTATTTATATTTTCAAAAAATTTCACAAATCAGGGGTGGGCCTGGTATTTTTAAAGGGTTTCAAGGAACTTGAGACCTTTGGTGTTTTATTTTTTAAATAATTTGGGAAAAATGTTTTAGGGTTTTTCTTTTGCAAAAGTTTAAAATTTAGAATCTTGGATACCTCTGGTGTAGAAACTTGAAAGTTCTTTGTGTTTAGTGTTGGAAAAAATCTTGGGTGTTCTGGGTGTTTGTTTTTTTGAAAGAATTTTTTAGAGATATCATTATGAAAGAATCTTTCGTTTAGTGTATGAAAAAAATTTTGATTTCCGTTTTTTTGAAGAGTTTAAAAGAATCTTGAGGGCCGGGGTATTCTATTTTAAAAAGAATTTGAAAGAACCTCAGGACCCTGATGTTTTATTTTTTGAGAGAATTTTGGGGGTCCTAGATGTCTTGTTTTTGGGAAAATTTTAAAGATTCTTAAAGTTCCTAGTATTTATATTTTCAAAAAATTTCACAAATCTGGGGCGAGCCTGGTATTTTTAAAGAGTCAAGGAACTTGAGACCTTTGGCGTTTTATTTTTTAAATAATTTGGAAAAATGTTTTAGGATTTTTCTTTTGCAAAAGTTTAAAATTTAGAATCTTGGATACCTCTGGTGTAGAATCTTGGAAGTCCTTTGTGTTTAGTGTTTGAAAAAGAAATCTTGGGTGTTCTGGGTGTTTTTTTTTTAATCTTTTAATGTCTTTTTTGCACGAGTTTTAAAAATCTTAAAACCCTCTGGTGTTATTTTTTGAAAGAATCTTGGAGGTTTTTCGCGTTTAGTTTATGAAAAAAATTTAAAAAATCTTGATTTCCGTTTTTTGAAAAGTTTAAAAGAATCTTGGGGCCCGGGGTACTCTATTTAAAGAAATATAATGAACTAATCTTGGGGTCCCTGATGTTTTATTTTTTAAAAGAATTTGGGGGTTCTAGATATCTTGTTTTTGGAAAAATTAAAGAGTTTAAAAGATCTTCAGACCCTTGGTGTTTTATTTTTTAAAGATTTGTGTTTTTTGCAAGAGTTTAAAATTTAGAATCCTGGCTATCTCTGGTGTAGAATCTTGGAAGTTCTTTGTGTTCGGTGTTTGGGAAAAAAAAATTGGGTGTTTCTGGTTTTTTTTTTTTTGAAAGCATCTTTTGGTGTTTTTCTGGAAAAGTTTAAAAGAATCTTGCAGACCTCTGGTGTTATCTTTATAAAAGAATCTTCGCGGTTTTTAGCGTTTAGTTTATGAAATAAAAATTTTTTAAATATAATTTGAAAAAAATCTTGGGGTCCCCGACATTTTATTTTTTGAAAGAATTTTTTGGGGGTTCCAGATGTCTTCTTTTTTTGGTAAAATTTGAAAGATTCTTAAAGTTCCTAGTAGATTTTTGAAAAAATTTCACAAAATCTTAGGTGGCCCTGGAGTTTTTCAAGTGTTCCAAGGATCTTAATATATTTGGTGCCTTAATTTTGAAAGAATTTGGAAGAATCTTTTTTACAAAAGTTTAAAAGAATCTTAGAGCCTTCTGGTGTTATCTTTATAAAAGAATCTTGGCGGTTTTTCGCGTTTAGTTTATGAAATAAAAACTTTTTTAAATAGAATTTGAAAAAATCTTGGGGTCCTTGACATTTTATTTTTTGAAAGAATTTTGGGGGTTCCAGATTTCTTTTTTTTTTTGGGAAAATTTGAAAGATTCTTAAAGTTTGTAGTAAATTCTTGAAAAAATTTCACAAAATCTTAGGTGGCCCTGGGGTTTTTCAAGTGTTCAAAGAATCTTAATATCTTTGGTGCCTTAATTTTCAAAGAATTTGGAAGAATATTTTAGTCTTTTGTACAAAAGGTTAAAAGAATCTAGGAGGCCTCTGGTGTTATCTTTATAAAAGGATCTTGGAGGTTTTTCGCGTTTAGTTTATGAAATAAAAGCTTTTTTGAATAGAATTTGAAAAAATCTTGGGGTCCCTGACATTTTATTTTTTGAAAGAATTTTGGGGGTTCCAGATGTCTTTTTTTTTGGGAAAATTTGAAAGATTCTTCAAGTTCCTAGTACATTCTTAAAAAATTTCACAAAATCTTAGGTGGCCCTGGGGTTTTTCAAGTGTTCAAAGGATCTTAATATCTTTGGTGCCTTAATTTTGAAAGAATGTGGAAGAATCTTTTAGAGTTTTTTGTACAAAAGTTTAAAAAAATCTTGGAGGCCTCTTGTGTTATCTTTATAAAAGAATCTTGGAGGTTTTTCGCGTTTTTAAATAGAATTTGAAAAAATCTTGGGGTCCCTGACATTTTTTGAAAGAATTTTGGGGTTTCCAGATGTCTTGGGGGGGCGGGGGGCGGGGGGGGGGCACTTGAAAGATTCTTAAGGTTCCTAGAAAATTCTTGAAAAAATTTCACAAAATTTTAGGTGGCCCTGGGGGGTTTTTCAAGTGTTCAAAGAATCTTAATACCTTTGGTGCCTTAATTTTCAAAGAATTTGGAAGAATCTTTTAGAGTCTTTTGTACAAAAGGTTAAAAGAATCTTGGAGGCCTCTGGTGTTATCTTTATAAAAGAATCTTGGTGGTTTTTCGCGTTTAGTATATGAAATAAAAACTTTTTTAAATAGAATTTGAAAAAATCTTGGGGTCCCTGACATTTTATTTTTTGAAAGAATTTTGGGTGTTCCAGATGTCTTTTTTTTTGGGAAAATTTGAAAGATTCTTCAAGTTCCTAGTAGATTCTTAAAAAATTTCACAAAATCTTAGGTGGTCCTGGGGTTTTCCAAGTGTTCAAATGATCTTAATATCTTTGGTGCCTTAATGTTGAAAGAATGTGGAAGAATCTTTAAGAGTTTTTTGTACAAAAGTTTAAAAGAATCTTGGAGGCCTCTGGTGTTATCTTTATAAAAGAATCTTGGCGGTTTTTCGCGTTTAGTTTATGAAATAAAATTTGAAAAAATCTTGGAGTCCCTGACATTTTATTTTTTGAAAGAATCTTGGAGGTTGCAGATGTCTTCTTTTTTTTTTTGGAAAATTTGGAAGATATATTTTATATTTTTTTGCAAGAAATTAAAATCTAGAATCTTGGATGCATCTCGTGTAAAATTTTGGAAGTTCTTTGTGTTTAGTGTTTGGAAAAAATTTTGGGTGTTACTGGTGTTTTTTTTTTGAAGAATATTTTAGTGTCTTTTTGCAAGAGTTTAAAAGAATCTTGGAGTCCTCTGGTGTTATCTTTATGAAAGAATCTTTGAGGTTTTCCGCCTTTAGTTTATGAAAAAAATTGAAAAAAAAATTGATTGTTTTTTTGAAAAGTTTAGAAGAATCTTGGCCGCCGAGGTATTCTATTTTAAAAAGAAATCGAAAGAATCTCGAGGTACCGCATGTTTATTTTTGAAAGAATTTTGGGGGTTCCAGGTGTGTTGGTTTTGGGAAAATTTTAAAGGTTCTTAAAGTTCCTAGTATTTAGATTTTCGAAACAATTTGAAAAAATCTTGGATGGCCCTGGTATTTTCAAAAAGTTTAAAGGATCTTGATAATTTTTAAGGAATTTGGAAAAAAAAATTAGTGTCTTTTTTGCAAAATTTTAAAATTTAGAATCTTGGATACCTGTGGCGTAGAATCTTGGAAGGTCTGTGTTCAGTGCTTCAAAAAAAATGTTGGATTTTCCTGTTTTTTTTTTTTTTAAATTGTTGAAAGAATCTTTAAATGTATTTTTTTGCAAGAGTTTAAAAGAACCTTTGGAGGCCTCTGATGTTATCGTTATGAAAGAATCTTGGAGGTTTTTCGCGTTTAATTTATGAAAAAAAAATCAAAAAAATCTTGATTTCCGTTTTTTTTTTTGAAGATTTTAAAAGAATTTTGGGAGCCCTGGTATTCAATTTTAAAAAGAATTTCAAAGAATCTCAGGGTGCTTGATGTTTTATTGTTGTTATTGATGTTTTCTATTTCAAAATCTTGGGTGGCCCAGGTGTTTTTTAAAAAATTAAAAGATATTAAGACTCTTGGTGTTTTATTTTTTAAAGAATTTGGAAAATTTTTTTAGTTATCTTTTTTTGAAAGAGTTTAAAATTTGGAATGTTACATGCCTTTGGTGTTATTTTTATGAAAGAATATTGGAAGTTCTTGGTGTTTAGTATTCTATTTTAAAAAGAATTTGAATTTTTGAAAGAATTTGTAAGAATCTTTTAGTGTCTTTTTTTACAAAATTTTAAAAGAATCTTGGATGTCTCTGGAAAAAGATCTTGAGAGAATTTGGAAGAATCTTTTAGTGTCTTTGTTGCAAGAGTTTGAAATTTAGAATCTTGAATGCCTCTGGTGTTATCTTTATGAAAAAAGCTTGGAAGTTCTTTTGTCTTTAGTACTTGAAAAAAATCATGGGGATTCCTAGTGTTTTTTCTTTTTTGAAAGAATCTTTTAGTGTCTTTTTTCCAATAGTTTAAAAGAATTTTGGTATTCTATTTTAAAAAGAATTTGAAAGAATCTCGGGGTCCCTGATGTTTTATTCTTAAAATAATTTTGGAGGTTCAAGAAATTTTGTTCTTGGGAAAATTTAAAGACTCCTAAAGTCCTTAGTATTTAGTCTTTCCATAAAATCCGAGAAAATCTTGGGTGACCTTGGGATTTTTTTTAAGTGTTCAAAGGATTTTGGAAGAATCTTTTATTATCTTTATGACAGAATCTTGGTAGTTGAAAAATTCTTGGATACGTCTAGTGGTTTTTTGAAAATTTTAAAAAGATCATGGGGTCCTCGGGGTTTTATAGTGTCTTTTTTACAAGAGTTTAAAAGAACCTTAGAAATCTCTGATATCTTTATAAAAGAATCTTGGAAGTTTTTCGTGTTTAATGTTTGGAAAAAGTGTCCGATGTTTTTTTTTTTTTTGGAGAGTTTAAAAGAATCTTGAGGTAAGAATTTTGAGAGTTCAAAGTGTCTAGTGGTTGAAAAAATCTTGGGTATCTCCAAAAATTTTAAAAAATATTTTTGACTCATTTTCCTGCTTCTAAAAACGAACACCGTTTAGTGTCCCCGAGATTATTTCTATATTACTTCTAATAATAATAATCGAACAAATCAAGCTGTAGTAAACACACTATTTTATCCCTGAGATTTTTTTACCATGAGCCAAGCAACCAAAATATAACTAATTAAAGGTTATGTAGACCCGACTTACGTCAAATTGAGGGCAGTAGTGCCACCTGGCGTTTGACAGGCAACGCCAACTCTAAATTTATTTTACTAGTTATTTCGGTAGTGTTTCAAAAACGAAAAAATTTAAATAAACAAAATTCCAAAACCTGCACCCAATATTTCAACTCCGACACGTTTATTTATTTACACTCATTACGTTTAAACCTGCTTTCGCTCATTCCCATCACCATCACAATTCCTCCCACTCACCTTATCCGGAACCGAGAACGGTATCCTCCCCGCGTCGCTGAACGCGTTATCCCACGTGACCGTCGCCCACGCGTGCGGCTCCTGGTTCCCGTGCACGATCACCACAACGGGAAGACTCAGCGTCCAAACCTGGAACATCAGCTCGCCGCCCCCGACGCTGAACTGCGACTGGAACAGCAGCGAGAACTTCTCGTCCATCACGCTCTCCGTCCCCTTCTTCTCCGCCCGCTTGATCTTCTTCAACTGCATGTTCCTGAAGCTCACCGACAACTGTCTCGTGGCCTGCTGGTACTCCATCGTGCCCGTGTTGTTCAGGATCTCGCCGCTGCACTCCCCGCTCTTGGCCAGCTTGTCGTTCTTGAGCAGCATATTCGCCTGCGACTCGGAGATGATCGTGACCTTGACCTGCGGCGGCGACATGTGCACGTTCAGCTTGCCGCCGACGAGCAGGCGCACCGTCGCCGTGAAGCGCGTGTTCGTCTTCATCACCTGCGGCGGCTGCTTCTCGATGATGAACGTCGAGGTGACGAGCGACGAGAGGAGCTGGGTGACGTCGGCAAGGACTTGGGGAAGCAGGTCGGCGACGCCGGGGGGATCGAGCGAGAGCTTCTGTCGCAGTCGGTCGACCTCCTTGACCTGCTGCCGGTTCAGCCAGATCAGCTCGGCGAGGCTCTCGCACCAGTCTTGGATCGTGTCGAGGTTGCTGTTGAAGTTGGCGCCGTTGCCGGCGAGCTGCTGCTCGCGCTTCCAGCGGATGAGCTCTTCGTCGAGGATGCTCGACTGGAGCTGGTTGAGCAGCTGAATGGTCTCTTTGAATTTGTCGACGATGGCGAGGCGGAGTTGCATGAGGCCGGCCACCTGGAGGCAAAAGTTTAGATTATGGGGGGTGTGGGGGGGACTGAAGCGTCCACCCGAGTCACAGGCAGTGAAATTTTTAAATGTCTAGTTAGAAACTATGATCACAACACATCTACAAAAACATCCCCGAGAAGATAGTGTGAAAATGTTGTTTTTAAAGTTTCGAGTTTACACATAAGATAATTAAAAAATAAAATAGTAATACTTGAAAAGAGCGCTAGAAAACTAAAGAAGGTCAACACATATCGCATACAGGGTCTATTAAAAAAAAAATATATGGACTTCCCCAATAAAATGAATTTGATCATTAGCTTTACATGCATTCTAGTGTAATATAAGTATTTTTTCGGAGATGACGTCATCAACTCCTGGAGAGAATAAATAAATAGATTTAAATTAATTGTCTCTAAAACTTAACTGCAGGAAGTTTGTTACGTGACCCCTAAAATAGACCACAAAATTGGTCCAAATTTAATAATTTTAGGATAATAATGTGTTAGAGCCTCTGGCGGGGACCTGTTTCACCCCTCCCCACCCGTAAGGGTGGGAGCCAGAGCCACCCCCACCTTGGAACACAGGGTAGCATTCATTCTTAATTCTTAACTCATTCATACACATTCAATTCTCAATTCTCAATTCGTACCTAACAGTCATCTCTCTCGACCGCACGGTCATATACTATTCTATTCTTATTATTCTTATTTATCATAACACTTGTCACTAGCAATATACATTTATCTTACTGTTCGCTGGTCTTATTCATTTATACAAACTTCGACATGGTCCTTCGAGCCGGATTAGCGACAGAATAACAGTGGTAGTGATAAGTGTAATTCTCAACATATCATTCGTCGGCTGGAATTCAGCAAAGTATTTATCAAAACATCACCTAGAAATCATCCGCGCAGTGTTCAACTATCGGTGACGACCGCGAGTGCTGTGCAAAATCCTCAAGTATCATTCAGCGTCAGCCAAGATAATTCTATCCAGGAATCCAGGATTCCAGGTAAGCTTTAATTCTGTTTGGTTGGTGTAATACATTTATTCTCGTACTCAAGATGGTGGTAATCCAAGACAATACTTTTGTTAAATTTTCAATTCTTCTCAGCGAAATAGATTCACATTCTAATTTTATATCAAATGTTGCAAATCATCAAAAAAGAGGCCACTTAAAGCGTCGATATGAAGACGTACAGCGAATTTATTCAGAATTACAAATGCTTGTAGTTCAGCATAAATCCGAAACAATGGTAGTCCCGAATGACACGAGTAACACGGAAACGATCAAACCTATAATTTATAATATCAGAGACGTGCTAAATAATATCCCAATTATATAATGTTCTCATTGAAAAAACTAATCCATTGTGTACTTTCTCGAATTCATGTAAGATAAATACTAACGTACCAATCACGGATCTGGAAAAAACTTGTCAAAATTTAAAGCCTTTAAAGGTACACAAATTAAGAAATGGAGAACCCATCAAAATTCACAAAACCCATTTCAATGCTCTACGTGAATTGAGGTTCACTATTGGTAAAAAATCCCCTCCGAATTCCATTGATTCACAAACTTCTATTATAATATCGAATTGTTCCACATTTCCAAATTCAACACCCAATGAAGATAAAAATCATCCTGTTAATGATTGTTACAACTCCGAGGGCATATCTCTAATTAATTCAGATAAAACGTCTAATGCAGAGTCATCTACCGCACTAGACAAAGTAAAAAGTCCTCCAGTTAATTCGAAAAACTGTGACTCATTGTTAGTCTGTAACCAATTTAAATGTAGATCGCAATATTTATGTAAATCCGTAGACTCGAATATTAAAGACAATACGTCAAACGTAGCAATACTCGACAAGAAAAAACATTCCGAAAATGTCATACCCAAAATAATAAGTCATTTCAGTAAAAACCCACCGGTGCTTCAAAATACCGCGCTGGGGTTGATTCTTAGCGGCAATTTTGCGTATTTAAAAAGCAATACTTCCCATCATCACAAAATTACTTCAGCCCAAATTAATTCTCGGTTTTTGGAAGTTGAAACCGTCAAAACCGGAAGCAGGTCATTAAGAAAAGGTTTTAAAAGCGATCTTTGTGCAACCCCTTTTCAATCCACCACAGGCCATTCACCCCATGGCCATTTCATGGTCAAACACCCCTTTTCGGAAAATCAGCCGCAATTAGAGAATTTTGCACAAATGCACCCAAAGTGGCTATTATCATTCGAGAGGAAGTTGGGGCGTTCCACAGTCCCTTATTTCAAAAATTTACCTAAATTAGGAAATTCCCGAGAACTGGCTCTCCAACTGTTATTGTTAGCAGAGGGACGTGATCATAAACGTAACGAGGGTTTTATTGTCTCTCAAAGGAAGTACCTAGACCTTGTGCAGCTGAAGGTACTTAACGAAAATTCCTCAAATAATTCCGTTTACCTGTCACACAATTGTATTTTAAATCCCCACGTTTCTTCCAATAAACTTTGCGAGGTTGTTGACCGTTCAAATCTTAGTTCAAAGAGTTTAAATATGAATCTCCGGAGTTATAACGATATTACTGATAAAAACCATCTTGAGGGCGAGGGCGTGTATGCGCTCACTGTCAGGGTTAAAGCCGTCCTGAATTCGCGCCTTTCGAAGCCTCTGTCCAGCGACCGCAATAATTTGGTCGCATTTATACCTGGCCAATGCCTCTTTCGGCCAGCCATCAACTGGTCCCTCAGGAAAAAACCACGCCGTCGTTCCCATCAACAGGCCATCCCTTGGCACCTCATCCACGCTTACCATCAACACTTCTGGAAGTCGTGGTACCTCGAATATTTGACCACACTGAAAGGCAGGTTAGGGTGGCAAAGGCCATCTTCCAACGTTCCAGGAATGGCAAGATGGGTCCTCGTGAAGGAGGAGAAATTTCCGCGTCTACAGTGGCGGTTAGGACGCGGCCCTCCAACATCATTTTGGAAAGGAAGTGGTGGTGTGTGTAGTGTCGGTGAAGTGCAAAAGATAATTTCGCAATCGCATGCATTATCATTCTATTTAACCATATTGCATACATCTTGTCAATTTGTTATATACATCTCATTGTTGATTTATTTTACTATGTTCTATGTATTCATATTTGTACCATTGTTATATCCATTCGCCATATTATTCACTCCTCGTATTATTCATTGATTCGGTACGTTATAATTGTTGTAAATTTACTTTTAGGTCTATTGTAAATATTGTGTATTCACTGATATTGTACACATGTAATTTGTCTTAGATATCTTTTTTTTTAGTTTAATGCGTTTCTTCATGTTCATTGCTTTCTGTAACAATATCCATCCCATTCATGTAATTTCATTTGTATTTATCATATAGTTTATCCATATAGTTTATTTTTGGTCTTAAAACAATGTAATTGTTTCAAGGCGGGGGGTTATGTTAGAGCCTCTGGCGGGGACCTGTTTCACCCCTCCCCACCCGTAAGGGTGGGAGCCAGAGCCACCCCCACCTTGGAACACAGGGTAGCATTCATTCTTAATTCTTAACTCATTCATACACATTCAATTCTCAATTCTCAATTCGTACCTAACAGTCATCTCTCTCGACCGCACGGTCATATACTATTCTATTCTTATTATTCTTATTTATCATAACACTTGTCACTAGCAATATACATTTATCTTACTGTTCGCTGGTCTTATTCATTTATACAAACTTCGACATAATGTTTGCTTGACAGTATTTTGAGAAGACGTCATCAATTTCTTCGGAGGAATGAATAAACAAATTTTGGTTATACTTTTCTCTCCTCCACAGTAATCTAATAATAATTCGATAAAATCTAAAAATTATCCAGAGTTTCAACCTAATGGGTTTAGTAATTTCGACAGTAACTAACTACTAAAAAGTGTTCAAATATCACTTTGTCGTATTTTTAGCACTTTTTCTATTTGCAAATCCAGTTTTTCCGAAAAATTATAAAATTTGATTTAATTACTTAGATATAACTATAAAAATATAGATAATATTAGTCATAATTTGACGACAATCAGTCCAGTAATTTCGGAGATCACAAAAATCGACACAGACGATAAACAGACGTAAACGGGAGACCACTTTTTTCGTACTCTAGTGGTCATGAAACGTCGTGAAAATGCACGAAAACTAAAAATTAGAAATTATAAAAAAATTCGCAGAATTACTTTAAATTTTGAAAAAACAAGTCATAAATTACAATCGTCGGAGTGATTTTTTTCTTCGATTAATATTGTTTTTAAAGATAAGACTAATCATCCATTTACTGCATTTCCAAAAATTCAGAGAAAAGATAAGTCGTTTCTAGGCCAATTGATAAAATATGTTTTTCATCTCTGCAAACAACCTGTATAAACAATTCTAAAAACAAAAATATATTATTGAAGCACATTGATATAATTTTTTAAGTTTTGTTGAAGGGACGAATATTTAAATTTTTTTTGGTTTTATTAATACCCAGTATCATTCTACAGAATAATATATAATTAACCCCGCCCACCCACCCCGTCTCCGTTTCAGTAATTGATTTATTTGCTCTGAGTGAAAGATGGAACTATACTCAACAGAAATAAAATTAGTCCTTAGAATGAGAAACGGGCGGGTGGGTGGGGCTAGTACTTGCTAAGATAAGACTGAAATATACATTTAAAGTAGGCAACCAACGAGAAAAAGGATTAATATCAGTGTACATGTTTAACTGAAATTATAAATACTGCTTGCCGATAAGATTTTGTAGAAAAAAGTTAAACTTGGCCCCGCCCACCCACCCGTTCTCTTATTTTTTTTTTCTTCTGAAATGAAAAATAAACCTTATAGCACACAGTAGAGCAAAAAAGTTACGATCAGCGATTTTTCCCCATTTCCATTCCATAGAAGAAAATATAATTAACCCCGCCCACCCACCCCGCCTTTATTTCAGTGATTGATGTGATTTGCTCAAAGTGAAAGGTGGATCTTAACTGAACAGAAAT